AGCTTTAGCCGTAGCCTGGACCGCGCAGCGCTGCACACGCAGGCAGATGTCGGTCAGTACGGTGATTTCCTCCCACACCTCCGGGTCCGGCTTCGTATTCATGTCCTCACAGAGCTCGGCTTGGTACGCCGAGAGCATGGAGGAGACATTCAAAGCTCGGACCGAGATGGCGGCAGCCTCGTACGCCCTCTCGTTCAGCGCCGACTGGAAGCGGTCCGCCTTCGCGGGGAGAGCGGGAGGCCTGGAGGAAGTTGCCGAGAGCCGTGGGTGCAGGTGGGCTGCAACCAGCGGTTCCATCGGCGGCATGCGAAGCATGCCAGCCTTCTCCATCCCCTCGAAGTCCAGCTAGGAGGCTCCTTGGACAGGAGACCTGGAGCTGAAAGGGTGTTTGTCCCAGGAGGACCTCACTTCTTGGAGAAGCTCCGGGAAGGCGGGAAGGAGAGGCTTTGCCGCCCTTGTGGCCTGAGGCAGCTTCTTTCCCTCGTAGCGGGATCTGACAGCCTCAGTGACCATGGTGGGCCAAGGGATGTTGAGCCTGGTCGCAGCGTCGGCAGACTGACTGCATGCCCAGGTGGGCGGCCGGAGAAGCCGCTCCATCCCTGGGAGAGGACGGAAAGCTAGGCATGGAGGCCTGAGCGATGGGGAGAAAAACGTCGTCATCCTCGTCCTCCTCTGAAATGAGGAGTTCCGAGGTGCCCTCGTCGTCTCCGTAGTCCAACTCCAACACGTCCTCGACGGGGTGGCTCGGACCGGCCGGTTCGAGCTGTGAGCCCCAGCTGAGTTCGGCACACGGTTCCGACTCCGGGAGGACATGTTCGCTGGCGTCCCCAGGCGGTGGCCCAGGGGCCGGCAGGCAAAGGTCCTTCCCCGACAGGCTAGCTTGGCGCGCTAGCCGCCGGCGAAGGCTCTTCAGGTTGAAGCAGGCACAGCTCTCACATGACCCGGGGACTTCCAATGCCAGCTGGGCGTGTTCCAGCCCGAGGCAGCTCGAGCAGACCTTGTGCGAGTCTGTGCTCGAGATTTTGTTCCCACAGGTACAGAGGCGAGCTCCTGCGCCGTCGACTCCTCTGGTGGGAGGAGCGGCTTCCATGTAGGCTAACTGGTGTGTTAGCAGAGAACGAACAGGTGCACTGGAGTGTGAAGCTGCTCGTTATGCCCCGAGCCTATGGTGAAGGCCAAGACAGAAGGACAGTAAGTTAACGTTCGGCGACGGAGAGAATATTAGCTGGCTCCGTCTGTGAACAGTTGAGCTAACTTACCTCAGAGATAAGCGACCACCGAAGCGAGAAGAGGTGATTGAATAGTGCGTGCGTGGGGACGCTTGCTACTTATAGTAGCAGGGGGACGCGTACGTCACGGTCACTGGCCAATCAGGATTGGCGTATTGAGATAAGTGCTTCTGAGGAATCCGCGGAGGGGCGTATCCCATAGTGAGACATCGAAACGAATGTTAAGAAAGAGAACTGCACCATCAGTCTAGGCCATCTGTGATGCAGTCACCTTTTGCTCCCTCTCCCTGCACCTCTCCTGTTGCCGACAGGCTGTTTGTCATTTAAACCTGCACCTTTGAGCACCGGTGTAACCACTCCGCAAACACCACAGTGCTTGTTATAAGCTCGCACACGGCGCACTCTCATTGTCCCACAGACTTCTCTGTACAAATCATCATTTGGTACTCGAGGAAGCCAAATCTGGTGTAAACGAGCACCACCCCAGCATGTGTGCCAACTCAGAAGTTGCTTGTTGATGACAAAGATAGGTGACAAATTAGCCTGTGTTTTTATTTTAGTCAAAACAAGAGATTAAATTATTACAAAAAGTAAACAAAACATAGCCAATGAGACAAAGTTAAAGTCCCATTAGTCATCACACACTGGTGAAATTCATCTCTGCATTTGACCAGTCCCAGCAGTGAGCTGCAGCTGTGGCTGTGCTAGGGAACTATTTGGTGGCTTGACCCCCCAATCCAACCCCTTCAAGCTAAGTGTCAAGCAGGAAGGCATTGGGCCCCATTTTTTAAAAAGTCTTTGGTTTGACCCAACATGAAAACAGTCTTCTACACCTATCTCCTGCATTAGCTTCAGATCTACGTCCCACTGTCACTTACAATTCATGCACTCACCCATAATGACTCATGACAGGGAAGGCTGTTATTGGTTTAGCATCCAGGAAACAGCAGAAAACGCCTCGGCTAATAGAAGTTCCACGTTAGCATTAGCAACTTCAACTCATGTCAGAAGCTCCTCCAGGCCTTGTGTTATTTATGGAGCTAAAACATTTACGTTGCAAGCCAACGGTACAGTCACGTGGCTATTATTCAATCCAGAACGAGATGTCTAAACATCAGGAAATAAGAGTCCAGAAGCTGCCGTCTGAAGCTCAGCTATGATGTGGCTCACTTCTAGTTCCTGAAAATGGTGCATCTGTGTTTTTCTTCCCCAGAGTACGACTTACAAGGCATTAATTCTTACTTGGGACCACTGCAAAGGCATTTATTAAATGAATGTTCCAACACCTTTAACGTGTTCCTGGATAAACAAAATCATCACTAGACCAGTTTATTCTAAAATCAAAGACTGTTTTGGATGACTGCAAGTCATCAGGTATTAAGAACTTAAGAATCTAAGAAAGTATTAAGAACTTCAAAAGTCAGAACACAGACATCTGACCTCGCACACCCTCTGAGAAATAGATGGCCATAAACAGGACAACAAGTGCATTTATCTGAAGGTGCAGTAAGTAAGAATTGAATAAGTAAGTAAGAAATGAAAAATTTACAACAAGAAAATCCCAAAAGAGTCTAATGTTTCAGTCTTTTTGAAAGGAAGGTTCTACTGAAACACATTTCATATCCAGCTGGCTGTGGGGGATGTCAGTTTTTCTCCTACTAAAGCAAAGAAAGGAGGGACGTAACTAAAGGTTGCCGTGCCTCCTGCGAGCTAATACTACAGTGCCTACAATTGTAATTGACGACGGCTGGCTAAAAGCTCCAGAGTTGTTTAAAGTGGTTGCAGTAACCAAATTTTATCACAGCATGTCATTTTTAATTCATTTCTACATTATGCACCTTTAATTTATCTCTTCAGTTGAAGTTAATCAGTCCATGAAAGGTGCTGTTTTCCTAGAAACTCTTATCTCAGAAATACTGCCTGTTAGTCTGGTCCAGCCCATCCCACTCAGCATCCACTTCATAAACGTCTGAATGTTCACTCCTGTCGTTAGCCATTAGCTTTAAATCTATCAGTACCCCATAAACCTCCAGGCCAAAGTGCTGCTTATACACATTCAATAAGACATGTCCAGGTTAGCCGTGTTTTATTTTTTGCACTTATTTATGTGACACTTAATGTGTGTTTATTTATTGCAGGGTCAGCAGCATGGCTCTTTAAATGAATGAGCCAAAAGTGTCTTCTTATCCTTCATTTGGCACACTGCAGCTCGGTTTAGGTCTAACAGAACAAAATTCCTCTCATTCAAACTCATTTTTCGTAGTTGAAGGGATAATTTAGGAAGACAAAATAATTTAGATTGTTTTTATTTTACTTATATTGATTTTACCATTCTAAATCCAAGGAGCTTTAAAGATAGACAAGAGGATTGAGAAGAGCCTGGCCATGCAATTAAACGAACTGGATGAAATTTTCTTTCCGTAAAGACATAAACGAAGGGATATGTGGAATGACTCTGTACACCTTTTAGTAAATCTGCAGATAGTCTGAGTCCTACAGTCATTATGCCATCTGGACTAAGATCCTCCATTAAAAAATTCATTAGCTAAAGTACTTACCGTAGCTGGCACACACCCACCTACTCTCATTAAGGCTGCAATTTCCATCAAGTAGACTGAATTCATCCTGAAGACTGATGCTCACAAAAATGAAACTTTAAACTGAGGCTTTAATGTTTATGTATGTGAGTTTTGTTTGTGCCTGTATGAGCAGGCGGCTCGTAGAGAGATGATGATGGCTTTCCTAGAAGAATGTTTAGATGACCGAGCTGCTGGCACACCTTGACTGCTGGGTTCAGTCCAGCGGGTGCATCAGGGATGAAAAGTGTCTCCTGTAGCACAGAGTTCAAAGTGATCTATTCGTGAAAAAGCTTAATCTTTGCTTCATTTATCAGAGCAAGATGCTAGCATGTCTTTCATACAGCGTCTTGCAGTCAAAGCAGAGGATGGCAGTGCTAAAACACAACATCTTGCCAGAGTTTCTCTCTGGTACCTGTCGCATGGAGGACTGCAAAAGGAAACCGAAAGCAGGGTCCAGAAATAACACCTGTCTTTTTGTCAGTGTAGGAGCAGGGAGGAGGGGTGTTGAGTAGATTGTTTTTAAAAGACAACTAAACTCAGATAATCCAGATGAGATTTAAGGAAGACTGGGATTCGTGGCGACATGTCCTGCTGCAGGTGAGCGAGAAAAAGAAAGAAAACCTTCTTAACTAAATGAAGTCCACCTCTGGACTCAAATAATCTACTGTTACCACAAACCGGCTTGAATGTTTATTAAGTTCTTTCTTTTTGTTAAGGAAAGCCAATAATCCCATCAACACACCTACCCGATCAGACAGCATGTTGCTTTTGACTTGCAGAAAAGCCATGTTTCCACTCCCTAAACATCCCTGTGTAAAGGTTATGAGCTAATCTGAGAACTAAAAGTTACACTGACACTCCCTCACTGAAACCAGCGCCTCTATAGAGCACTCAGACTCACTCTGCCCATAGTGTTATCGATTGAAAGGTAAAAGCACACACCCTAGGGGCAGACAGAGACCACACACAGCTAAAGTTACTCTTTCTGTGTGTGTGTTTGGGAAGGAGACGGAGGAATAATGTGTTGCATGGCCCTCTGGTAACAGAAACCCAAAGATAGGACTGCTGCCCACAGAGCACCAGAGGGAAAAGGGTATCACAGATTAAAATAACCCCTCATTCTGCAACACAGTTTCTAAAATCTCACATTTTATTGTGATTCTTCTCCAGCGACTAAATAAAAAGTCATTACCTTCCCCGCCAACTGGCTCGAACATCCCAAACTGCTCCAGGACTTTGATGAAGAGACCCATGACCACCAGGACAGCGATCATCTCCAGTCCATCCAGACTCAGCATCTTGGTGGACCGCTGTATGTCATCGCTCAGCACGACGCCAATGATCCGAGTCGGGCTGGCCCGAGCCCGGCCAGCAGCACAACCGCACCCAATCTCAACACTTTGACCGAGTCCAGACCAGCAGTTTTCTTCCACTCTGCTCCAGACTTTCATTCAAACCAAGAGCTTCTGATTCAGGACCACTCCAAGAAAGTAGTTGGTTCTCTCCTGTTGACTTCAGTCAACCTTGATTAATCCATATTGGAGGCCATTACTGCTGAATCTACAAGCAACCACATCTAAAACATCCTCAGCTACACTTAGAACTTTTCTCTTCTTCCCTTTCATCTGTGTGTGTTTTTTCCCCAGACCCTCGTTCAGTGGTGGAATCTGGGGATGTGCTGCTCTTGTTAGTCCTTTGGCAGCGGTTGTCAGGAAGTGAATGTTATGAGGAGGGGGGGGGGGGGGGGGAGTGAGTGAGAGAGCCAGCAGATAAAAAGAGTGAGGGAGGATGAGTGGGAGATGGCATCGAAAATGAGAGGGAGGGAGACAAACAAGCCACGCTGGAGAGAGTGGGCAAGAGGCGCACAAACACATGGCGGGGCATGCCGTCTCTCTCCAAAGACAAATTTTGGATCCTTTGTCAGTGAAAATTGTTTGATGAAAAAAAAATAATACATTTTTATTGACAAATCAGTCATCATTAAATACCTGTTAGCCAATAGAACTCCTATATTCCTTACAGTCTGCAGTCTGAGTACAAAACCTTTTGGTTTTTGGTAAATAAATAATAACTGGAAAAACACGCTTTAGTAATGAAAGCTAAGTAAAGTTTATTGTTTTATAGATATGTTTCCAACATTGGGCAGATTGATCCACACAAAACCAGTAAAACATATTCTTGCTCTTCACCTAGTGTACTGATCAGACCAAAAAAGTCTGGAAAACAATGAGATTTTTTGTGTTTAAATCAGCAAAACTTACAGAAGGAGATCAAGAGTCTCACAACCAGATGAGCAGGTGAAGAGAATATTAGATATATAGAGAACTGTGGGAAAAGTTTGTTACTGTTAAAAAGCAACTAAAGAGCAAAATTGCAAGAAATACAGGTAACACCTCACAATAAGGGTTTCTTTATTAACCATTATTAACTCATTAACTGCCATTGATGACTAAAGTCGTCATTTTAAATCCAACTGTTCACTGCCAATGACGACTTAAGTCGTCATTTACATGTTTTTCCTGTGCGGGCGTCGGAACGAGCCCCTGCACCGTGAGAACAAACATCTCAGCTTTAAAGCCGATCTTCATCCGCGTACGTCACACATCACGTGATCAGGAAGCAGAAAATCCACGTGTTAGGAGATTGTTTTGGGCCGCTGCTGTAAAAAAAAAGTGAGGAGCGAACCGGCAAAGCTTCTGCCGATCACAATTCAACAACAGATTATGAAAGAATGGATAACGCTCGAAACGCACGGATTCTTCCTGATGTAAGAGGTGAGTCTCCACTTTGTTTTGAATGTTCTGAATGTTTCGGCGTCGACATCATCCTAGTGCGCAACGTTCTGTGAGTCTTAAAAAAAAAACAGTAAAAACGGTGAGAAACGCTAGCAGCGAATGAGTTAAGCATTAATAGACAAAGTATCCCGTTATTACCGTTCCCAATATTGTCAACCATTAAGAGTCCTTAAGGGTAGAACAAAGGGCCAGGGGAGGGGTATCTGCTTAGTAATGCATTATTTTATATTAACATTAATATTAAGCAGTTGCTAATAATTTATTTTATTGTTTATTAATGTTTAATAACGCACTAAGTAACATTAATAAAGGGGTCCTTTTTGTAAGGTGTTACCGAAATACTTGTGTACAGTTGGGCAAAGAAGTATTTGGCAGCCATAGATTGTGCAAGTTACCGTAAGTCCTCTAATATTGGCCTGTATTCAATTAACAGCCGGGTATTACATTTTGGCCGGTGTTGGAGTCGGCGGAGGTGAATAATGGCCGGTTTTTTATTGCGGCCGGGTGGAATGTGGTAACAAGCAAGTACCACAGGGGGGCCGTTGTGTCATCCGTCTCACTTTTGATTTGCCAGTGATAGACCGCGAGGGTAACTTTAACCGTGGCAGGTGCGGAGACGAAGAGGAGGCGAAAATTTGATATCAAGTTCAAAGAGAACGTGCTGATTATGCTGCAGAACACTCTGGGGAGCAGTAGCAGGGGTTGTATGAACTAGTCACTAGTCGACTTCACCGCTCTATAGTGACTTTTTATGCCTGTCATCGACTAGTCGCTGTCACTTGATAATGACCGGCAAGATGCAGTCCACGGAAAAGACAGCAGCCTGCTGTCAGCAGGTGATGAGCCCCTGCGCGTCGGGAGGCAACGCGCTGTGCCAGAGCGTCGGTACTGACACCCGCCGTAAAACGGACATTTAACCAAATTGTGACCTTTGCCCTCTTGCAATTTAACCTTCCCCTCACCCCCATCCTAACCTTAACCAGCTTGCGCATGCAAAGCTCTGATTGTTGATGCGCTCCAGACATCTGCGTCCTGAGCACGACCACAGTAACATTATCAAATCTGGTGTCGCCACCTCAAAAACTAATTTAACACGCGTTTGTTTATGTCGGCTCATTTCCTTTTATGTTTTCTGTCTTTTATTTGTGCCTGATGCTTTTCGCTGCTGTGGAGCGGGGCGCATCACCTGTTTTGTCCTCCGGTGACGCACCTCACCGGTGCGGCCGGCGAGCAGCGCACACCCCGCTGTTTTTACGGTCGGTAGATCTTTTAGAACTGCAGTTCAAAGGTAACTCATGAGGTGAATATATATGAAGCCAGGTAGCAGTTTTTCTTTAGGATTGAGAGGAGATGCAGGAAGATAATAAACAGACAGGACAGAAAAATAGTCAAATAAAAACAAGTTAGTTTTTGTACCTGGAGGTTGCAACAAACAGACACCATTGAAGGTAATCAGAAGTGAGGAACAGAAAATGAAATTATTGTTTTAATGTTTAGAGCAGCAGGAACTCTGAGAGGCTGCAGGCGCATCAGTGAGTTTGCGACTGCTACGCAGGGGGAGGGGGGAGAGGGCTGAAGCAGAAACTACCGTTGTTAAAAAATGTGTTTAACTTTCAAAATGTGGGCGCAATTTTAATTGTCAAAAACTCCAGCGAACCAACCAAACTCAAATAGAAATTGAGTCCTGCCTCTAATTCTGGCCCTCCTTCCAATAAAATCCTGGAGCTTGATGAGCTTGAGTAAAATACAGGCCCGGGCCTGTATTAGAGGATTTATGGTATGCCACTGAAAAAGCTGAGAGAGGCCTGTACTTTCCGTCATAGGTTCAACCGTGAAAATCAGAATGTCAAAGAAAAAATAATACAAGAAATCATACGATATTGTAATGAATCAAAAGGGTACATTTTCACCATCAAGTTGACACAGTAACCTTTCATACACACCAGAGCTGCAAAGTCAAGGTTACACCAGCTGGAGGATCCATTGTGCTTCAATGCAGACATAAATAAAATGTCAAATATCTCTCTGCCCCAGACTGCTGGATTCCTCACTGGGAATAAAAGTGAATATACACAAATCCTACAAGGCTTTACAACTTAAAAGTTAATTAATCACATGGTTGAATGAACAAGATGTTCAAACAAAATGTTTGAATAATCTGTGCTTAAATCAATGAAGTTGAAATGAATATTGCTCTTACAACGATCCATTGCAGATCTTATGATCAGTATGTGTTTGATTTAACAAGTTAATCATTGTCTAAACTCATACACATCTTCATAAGATACAAATTAAGGTTACAGTTCACCTCACATAAGTATTTTAAACCATCCTCTTTCAAACCGATAAAAACATCTTGTATCTGAAGGAAGGTGCGGTTTTCTGAGGAATGTTTTGGTAGAGCCTTCCAGACATGGCACATTCTGATTTGCCAGAATGGCCAGAAATCATAACAAAGTAGTTTAACTCATTCGCTGCCAGCCGTTTCCTGATTGCTAAAGGCCTTCGCTGCCAGCATTTCTCGCCGTTTTCACTGTTATTTTAAGAGTCACAGAACGTTGTGCGCTAGGATGATGTTGACGCCAAAACAACCAAAACAAAGCGGAGACTCACCTCTTACATCAGGAAGAATCCGCGTGTTTCGAGTGTTGTCCGTTCTTCCATAATTTGTTGTTGAATTGTGATTGTCAGACGCTTTTCCAGTTCGTGCCTCACTTTTTTTTTACAGGAACGGCCCAAAACGATCTCCTAAAACATGGATTTTCTGCTTCCTGATCATGTGACGTGTGACGTATGCGGGGGAAGATCGGCTTCAGAGCTGAGATGTTTGTTCTCTCGGTGCGGAGGCTCGTTCAGATGCCCACACAGTAAATAAATGCAAATGACGACTTTAGTCGTCATGGGCAGTGAACAGTTGGATCTAAAATGACGACTTCATTCGTCAATGGCAGTGAATGAGTTACTAAAACAAGAATTACTTCCTGAGTAATTCAGTTTCTAGCGGAGTTCAGACCCGCCAATTTGGAACAAGCATCCTTGAGACATTTCTTTTGACATACAGTCAAAAACCTGTTTGCACGATGCAAGCTGACACAGCCAGACGGCTCCCTAAGCGCCACATCCACTTTGGATACAAACAAGCATTCCAGCTACTGTTGTGACCTGGAGACATCTCAAGACTGGACGGGTCGTATCGGAGTTTAATCTACGACATCCCGGTGCCGTGAGGTTCACCCGACTTCCTGGCAGTCCGGATCTGCTGGGGGCCTCCGCCAGGGTTTGTAGACACAACAGATTGTGTCAGATGTTGTTTTATTAATAATCAACTGTCTAGTTTATAGCAGACAACAAATTCTTTTACACCCATGATTTCACAATTTCTGTAAGATACAAAGGTTCTGATAAACATCTAGCTTACATCACGCCACCTACACATCACATTCCATCACAGAATATCCACTCCATCACATCTCATTATTCATATCTTGTCATGTATAATCATTAGTTTAGAATAAAGGAGACACGTGCAACTTTAAAAGATGAACTAAGGATTTATTTTGTCACTGCTAATTGTAAACTCAATGCTAAATATACTGTATATTGATATCCAACACAAAATGCCTCTAAGCTAATTGGACCAACAATAACTAAAAATAACCTTGAGGAGAAAAAATGATTAGAATATTGCTCAACTGTTGATCTAAAAATGAGTGGTGTGACAGCCCACCAAAACCAAATTACCTAGGCAATCTACATGGTAGCACACTTCAACAATTACAACAAGTACAACTACAAACAGAATACTATTGTCAAAGCTATAGGGTGATTTAAACGGTAACCCCACAAGCGGTCATCCAAAGCACTCAGCTTATCGGATCACTAGCATTGCTAGACGGAGTGATCAGGGAACATCAGCACAGATCCAAGACCCCCAGAATAACTGAGAGCCATTCCTTAGGTATCATTAGGGCAACCTTGAAGAGCTGCGCCGGCCGCATCCAAGAGGAAGCGGTGGTGGAAGTTCATAGTCGGCGTGCCCTTGTCCGTTGCGCTGAACAGGAGCATCAGAAACAAGTTCTGTCTGTGGTGCTGAACTTCAACCCCTGGGACGGAGAGGTGGCGGCCAGAACAGTCATCCTGTACCCTTTGAAGAAAAGCAGCCCCGAAGCATGATGTTACCACCCTCATACCTCACAGTGGGTATGGTGTTCTTGGTATAAAACTCAGCCATCTTCCCTTCCAAACATTGTGAATGGTGTTTATAGCAAAGAGCTCTATTTTGGACTCATCTGACCACATGGCGTTCTCCCAATCCTCCTCTGGATCATCCAGATAATCTCTGGCAAACCTCTTCAAGCACAAATCATAACCTTTGTTACTGTGGTCCCAGCTCTCTTCAGGACCAATCCTCCCAGTGTAGTTCTGGGCTGTTTCTTCACCTTTCTCGAGATCATTTGTAGCCCATAAGATGAGATCATGCATGAAGCCCCATGTCGAGGGAAACTGTCAGTGATCTTGTTTTTATTGCTTTTTCTAATAAACCCTCCAACAGTTTCTCATTAAAGCAGCTTCATTTATTTAGGACATTTCATATACAGAATTAATTCAGCCAAGCTGCTAGCCTATAGACTGTTTGTCCCTGGTGTCCATGGAGAGCTCTCTGGTCTTGGCTATGCTGGAGGTTAGAGTCTGACTGTTTGAAAGTGTGGACAGGTGGTTTATTATTTTTACCAATATTGAGTTAAAACAGGTGCCACTAATACCAGTAACGAGCAGTGGCGGCTGGTGAATTTAATTTTTGGTGGGGCGCATTTATGCTGTTTCTAGATGTTAGCGCTAACCACATATCAATCACTACTAGGCGATGTGAGTTTACCAATCTTATGATAGAATCCACATTTTCTACCTCAACAATGACACTAAATAAAATGGCTGAAAAAAGCCAAACTCAAAGTAGCAACAATGCAATATGATGCTTTCCACATAAAGAACTGCTTAAATTAAAGTTTGGACTCACTTCTTTACAACAACATAATTACTATAACTCTACCTACAGTCTTACGTTAGCTGATTTTTGGTCATGATGTCCATGTTATAGTAAAAAACACTTGGTTCTGTAATCCAATGTTCAAATGTCACACTGAGCTGATTTTTGACTGTCTTGTGTTTTTTTACCTGCTGTAGAATGTTTATAAGTCCCTGATGCCACATTCCACCATTTTCTGTTTCTTTATAATAAAAAAAACTCCAAGAGGTGCACTCATCTGTTCTACAACAACAAAGGACAGTGAACTGTTGAGAATTTCCGGTTCTGTGGCAAAAGTGTAAACAATTTTTTAAAACTACACTTAAATGTAGATTATACACAGCATTTGTAGTCTGTGTGATTTATAGATCACTTAGTTTAATTTTCATGTATTTTTTAAAAATATTTTATGATTTCTATCTTCTTCTTCTTTTCATCCTCTTCCTGAGAGAATGGTAGGGTGGCACCCTAGCGCTCCCTATGGACAAGCCGCCATTGGTAACGAGATAGAACAACTTCTTGAAGAAAAAATTTTTTTAGTTGATAAACACTTGTTTTCTGCAGCAATGGACAAATAAGTTCTTTAAAAATCATACATTGTGACTTCCTGGATTTATTTTACTTACTGTCTCACATTTGAAATGTACCTATGATGAAAATGACAGAACTCTCTCATCTTAAGTGGAACAACTTGTACAATTGGTGGCTGCCAAATACTGTTTTGCCATTTATTAACAATAACATGTAGCAGGTTATTAAGTAATGCCAATAAATAATATCTGGTATCAATGCTTGCCAAGATTTGGTGAGATTATTGGGCCATTCCCATCTGTATCGGGTCGGCCCGGGCCGGGTAGCGTAGGTTGTTTACATATCTGGGTGGCCTGGTATTTTTCCGGGCCAACCAAGGCTCATTCTCAGCCCTCTTCTCGAGGGGGTCTGCTTCAGGTTGACCAGGGCCAACACACCCACTGCTGACAGCAAATTCACACCTTCCATTAGAGCAAGCCTCTGATTGGTGGGTACAATCAGCCCACATTGGCTTAAGAGAAGGATGTGTGGAATCAACCGGGCCAGGCTGGGGCCGACTGGGGCTACCCGGCCCGGGCCGACCCGCTACAGATGGGAATGGCCCATAAGATGTTCAACAAGAACTGGCGCAGGCTGTTCCCACTGCCCACCATCTGATGTTTCGCCTCTGCCTGACTCCCAGTGAGGGCATCGCTTCACCTTATGCAACTAAAATAACAGAATGAGGAAAAAGATGTGCCCCCTTTGTGTTTTTGCCCATCCCAGTTTGTTTCCGTCTCAGTCTTTGGTGAGACAAACAACAAATGTACGGCAGGCAGTTTGACAAATGTGCTGTGCCTGCATTCAACTGTACCCATGATTCTCCTCCTTGACTTTCCTGTTGCTTATTTCCTACCTGGCAAAACAACAGCAAGTCTCATCATTACTGTTCCATACATTCTAATAAACGGCAGAGTACACACACGCCAGAGAAGGTGACAGGAAAACTACTTTTATGTGACACTAGTATCCAAACACTCAATAGTTTATCTCTTCCCTCTGTGGCTGAAATGCATACGGATTGCACTGGAGCAGAGCTCGGATTTCAGACAGTAAAAATGTTCAGGGAAACATCGAACCATATAGCAGAGAGAAAGAGGAGAATGAAATCTGAGCCTAACCTGTTGGTTAAAAATGACTTATTTCTCTGCTTGCGTGCTTATTTTAGATTTGTCATGTGAGATTGAAGAGAAAGACGGAAAGGGAGTCATCTGAAACGATGGAAGGGAAGTGAATTTGAGATATAATAATAAGAAGAAGAAAAAGCAGAACATGAAAGAATAAAGACAGGACAAGCCAAAGAGTGACTGAGGTCAGATTTCTCCATGTTCAAAGGGGAACAGCATCTATTCTTTATTACCCTCCAGCATCGGTACCCTCCTGGAGGCTTTTTCACCTCATTCTAGATGTCACCAAAGAAAATTGGATCTGCTGATGTGTCCTTTTCTCCTCTACATCTCTCCCACCCAACAGCCTTTCACCAAATCTACAATATATATGCTTCAGATTCTGACAGGACCACGTTTTATCTACTTTTAATTACAAAAACAGCGACTGCTTTGTGTTGCAGCATTAGAGGAGTGGTGTTAATGCTCGCTGCATTGTTCTGGAGTGACAGCTCCTCCAATTCATCTCTGTGATTACCTCAAGTCGCCGCTAATAGGCGTATTAGCTTTGAATTACCAGTCTGCCTTAGTACTTCAAAAACAGGATGGCAGCGTGCAATGAAACAATAACAGTCCTGCCTTAAATCATCACAGTGAAAAGGGCAAGTGGTATGTGAGTGCTGTCAGACCAGCTTTATTCCTCTATTTTCCATAAACACAGTTGGTGTTTTGGTTTCCTGTGAGATGCGGTAAATAAGAATAGTTTTGAAAAGATCAAAAGTATTTTCTACAGATGTGTTGATTCTGGATTTATGGGCTGATGCTGATTTTCATACAGCTCACTTTAGTTGGTACAGATAAGTGAACTAGACAAACAAAACGCTAAAACCAGAGTGAGCATTAGCATGGTCTACACTTGTTTGTTCCAGTTTCAAAACATTTAAAAAAGTAGCAAAGACCAAATTTTTTCTTTCACACATTTATGAAATCATGCTAAATGCAACATATTGTCGGATGACATTGTTATCTGCAAAGTCGGCACAAGCAACAGCAGGCAGCCGTTTACAACAGTTGTAATTATGCTTTTAACCAGTAGAGAGAGAAGCGGGAAACTTACGTGTTGCTTTATGCAGTCTGAGCTATCATTTTAGCAAATAGCATTCAAACAGCATTTCTGCAATACCATACCACTTTACTTATAGAGTGCTTTTAAAACAGCATTACAACCAACCAAAGCCCTGCACATACTAAAACAACACAGGCAGAAATTGTCATGTATGTCATAAAAACAATAAAAAATTAGAAGTTAAACCAGGTGAAACCGTAGATTTTTTATTTAACAATAAATGTCATTTCTTTCAGAAATATCAAAAATGCTTTATATAAGTTATCCGTTTTGGGCCCTTAGATGATTTTATTTCTGTCTTGAATTTGTTTTTACTTCATAACAATTAAAACTTTATTTACATAGCACAATCAGGTCAGAAACAGACTAAAAATAGGATTAGAGTTGTTAAAGATCAACTTTACTCACAATTAAATACATTTGCAGTGGTCTCTAGTAGGAATCACCACCATGTAAGTTGTATGGGGGCCGGGGGGGGACTAGAAGTGAGTCAAGGGAAAGTTGAACGTTTAGATTTGTAAACTTACTTTCTAATTTGGACATCTCGCTTCAGAGTCGAAAACAGCAACGCGTCTCAACCACTGACTCAGTTTACTCTGCAACGCTGATGTTTTATCTCCACAAAGTGCATGAAAAACTCACAGTGACCGATTATAATCTGAAATAATAACTAAAAATGGTTTTTCGGTAAAGTCGACTTTTAATATTAATATTTCTCTAAATAAACTGAAGATTTCTCTATTGGTTTCCAAAGCAAAGCCATTGCTACATAAAATATTTAAAGGTATTTTCTGGTACAGTAATAAAAAGACTTAGCACGTCCTGAAGTCTGAAAGAGTGTTTGTGGGAATCCAGCAGAATAAAGAGACAGTGACATGACAGTTTTGTCTTTTCAAAAAGATCATCTTTCAGTCAAAACTATTTTCATCCAGCCAAGATCCTGCAGCACTTTCATCTGACTTATTTCCCTCTCTCTTGTAATCTTTTAGATCTCGCCATCGTCTCAAAAGTGAAAAAAAGTGTACAACTTTAAAAACAAACTACACAATCTTTCCTTCTGGTACTAATTTAATCTGCTGATAAATGTCTTGTATTATTCATCTGAAGCAGACGACTGAGGGTTTATTAGTTCAAACGGACTCATGACAGAACAATCCTCAATTCGGAGGGTCAAAATAAGATGAGCAATTATGATTGCATATGAACATGAGTATCAGTCTGCTTTAGTAAATGCTGGCTTGCCTTGACACAAACACACACACACACACACACACACACACACACACACACACACACACACACACACACACACACACACACACACACACACACACACACACACACACACACACAAAAGAGCTCCTGGCAACAAAAACAAACCCTGAAAGCTGTGATTACAGTGATGATCCTCATTTCCCCACCAGCATTAATAGTAAATAAGAGTAAACCTGTGATAATATCATCTTTGGCCTCTCATTGTGAGCTGAGTCACACAGGCGATCAATAAGAGATGATACAGCCTGACAGAAGAGATGAGTCTAGTGAAAGAAAAAAAGGATTTTCTGTTTTGAAGTTGAACTGAGACATCTAGTGGGCACACGGGGCAAAGATCAAACACTGTGGTGCTCGACTAGATGCTGCACTGTTACTTATGGGACAGAAATCCAACCTTTCTTCCATTATTTACAATATTCTCAGTCAGACATTTATATCAGTGCTTTTATTCATCTTTTGGCATGAAAATATTTTATTTAGAACTTCATTTGAAAATTTAGGATTTTTTTACACATTCATCTGAGTGGACAAAATGCATCTGGACTTTGAAATATGTGTCTGACAAATTAAGCTGATTTAACTAATTCCACGTCATCTTTATCCACTAATTGGATTTCCAAAAAGTCAAATTACTAGGAAATGTAATAAGAATCAATAAACTATGATCATCTATGTGTAAAAAACAGAATTCACATTTAGAGGTGTTGAACACTTGTTTAATCAGACCATTTGCAGTGGTCTGTAGTAGGAAAGAATGCTTTGTAAATTGTTCTTGGGAGGAAAAAATATACAGATGCATCATTAGTCTGACCTCAGAGCTTCAGATGGCAGGCTCTGGATTATTTCCTGATATTTGGACATCTCGCCTCAGATTGGATAACAGCAACACGACTCCACCACAGACTTGCAACAAGGATGTTTTATCTCCACAATCATAGGCGTCATTTTAACCGGGGACGCCGGGGACATGTCCCCGGCAAAATTTGTGATTGGCAGCTGTGTCCCCCCCACTTTAAAAAAAGCCTGCTGATGAGGATTTTTGTTTTACCAGCTCAGATCTTATACCAGGGGTCGGCAACCTGTTCCCATCAAAGAGCCATTATTACCCATTTCCCACAGTAAAGAAAACACTGGGAGCCACAGCGGCCGCAGCGTTGTGGGCGGGGCCTACCCTCACAGCAGAGCGCTGCTCACAACCAGGTGACAGCAGCCGGTACCGGTCGCTCGCATGGGCGTGGCACCCGTGGGGGATTCAACACCCACACTTTTCCAGCTGTTTTGCTCACCACACCAGTCTGGTTTCTTAATGTCGCACTCACTCTGTTTGCCTCATCTCCTTCTTCACCTCCGCTTCTGACAGCCGATGTCGGGTTTCCAGGAGAGCAGGAGAGGGAGGGACGGAAGAGCTCGACTGAATTCATAATTTTACATCTTGACATTAGCTGTACAAAGTCTGAGTTTGATAAAGTGAAGAACAACCATTTGCAGAGGTTTGGGCCACGGTAATTTTGGACGGACCTTAATAAGCAGTGACTTAAGTGAAGCAGGCAGGTCGCGCTAGAAAATTTCGTTTAAAAAGACGTCATAAATGTGTTCCCCGTCATTTTTATTTATAAAATATGAAGTAAAAACTCACAATTTAATTTTCATTCATTTGTCATTAATATGTAGTCTACACCCGTGCGTTAAGTGGACCATCTTCCAGTAAAAGCAAAGCATCCAGCCCATCTCTCCAAATGCGTAAAATGTGCATCAGCCGCTAGTTAGGCGCGCCGCGCGCACCATTAGCTACATCATCCCAAACAAGAGCAGAGCAAATAGAGAAAGAATAGACGATAATTCTGTCTGGATGTGGATGGAGATTACATTTTACAGCAGCCTGATCATCATTTAAATACATAAACCATCACCTGTCCTCTAGTCCACGCTATCAGCATTATTTCAATTGGTGTGTGTGTGTGTGTGTGTGTGTGTGTGTGTGTGTGTGTG